GTATATACTGTTCAACGTAAATAATAGTAGAGTAACAGCATGTACACTGTCACGTGACATTGAGGAATTGAGATATTTGTCAAATACAAGTTCATGTGCCGCAACCTTGCTATGTCCACTTCAACAACAAACGTTTGGTTTTATAACGAAGTTATGACTTATTGTCAAACAAACAGTACAACACAATATATCAAATTCTATTTTTTGTTTAACAAATATTGTCAACTTTATCGGATATACACTGAAATAATTGTTATACGCATATGTATGCATGTTTAGAATCTAGCACGGTGACTAACATAAGACCCCAAAGCCCAAAATATATTACCTTGCCCAAACCATATTAACACGCATAATTTGCCCTAACATTGCCATGGTGACAACTAACATAAACAAAGCAAATAAATATTATCAACTTTTTTTTAATCTAGATATTATAAATCTTACCCTACAAATAAGTTTTCTGCAAGTTTTCTGGGAAATTGAAATATAGCAACGATGACCATTATAAGCGTAATTCTCAGGCTTTATTCACGTTATACAATAAGTTTATATTGCACATTATCGCAATCATCAACACACAAAACCCAATGGAGTATGTAAGCTGATATTATAGAATTACACGTGTCTTTACAGCATAAGTTCATAGCCATATTATAATGCATCTTAGCTGTAATTACATCAATACCAAGTGAGTTATTATTTCTATTTGCAATATACTAATTTAGATGTCATAAAACATGTCAAAAGTGATCGATTACCGCCAATATCAAAGGAAAAAAATCAATTATGTTATCTACTAGAGCGTGATTACCGTGAACTCGATGCAGTATAGGGTATTTAAGTGGTGAACTCGATGCAGTATGGGGTATTTAAGTGGTGAACTCGATGCAGTATGGGGTATTTAAGTGGTGAACTCGATGCAGTATGGGGTATTTAAGTGGTGAACTCGATGCAGTATGGGGTATTTAAGTGGTGAACTCGATGCAGTATAGGGTATTTAAGTGGTGAACTCGATGCAGTATGGGGTATTTAAGTGGTGAACTCGATGCAGTATAGGGTATTTAAGTGGTGAACTCGATGCAGTATGGGGTATTTAAGTGGTGAACTCGATGTAGTATGGGGTATTTAAGTGGTGAACTCTATGCAGTATGGGGTATTTAAGTGGTGAACTCGATGTAGTATGGGGTATTTAAGTGGTGAACTCTATGCAGTATGGGGTATTTAAGTGGTGCACTCGATGAAATATGGGGTATTTAAGGATTAATTGTTACTAAGTAGTCGTTTTCACCAATTTAAATATATATGGAAGTCCGTCACAAAATGAATTTCAACAAAATAAAAATTGTTATATTCTGGAGAATTACATTTATTTTTTTAAGTGCGATGACTTTAACTCGTGTTTGCACTGTCGTTAACTTTCAATCGTATACACAAATACAGATACCTGCTAAGCATGCGTCGTTCTTGGGTCACTGCTAGTGAAAATATATTTTGTATTTACAGAGCGAAGTTGAAAATATTGTCATACCAATACCAATGACACGCCATCAGTAACATTGAATGAAGAATTTATTACATTTAAGAGGCATTTCGTAATTTGTTTAACTTTAACAATAAATATTCCGTCGTACAGTGATTTTTTAGAATACCAAAATCTACTTACAGCGATATTGTAAAATATTTTATTTAGCTTCAACACATTCCTTTTATGTGAATAAAATAATTAGCTGCGACTGGACGCAAGAAGTGTTCTACAAGTTATTATCAGGATACCTGACATTTTCCCGGAGCTGCGTGAACCAATTACACAATTTGCAAGACCGTAGATTTATCGATTCACTGTGATCTGCTTTTACCAACAAAATACTTACATGAAATTCCCAAAATGCTTCTGTATATTGTGTATAATAAATAATTGATTGATATTCTGATATATATTTGGTAGGGGAGTTTACTCTGGTACTAGCGGTTATTGTATATGTATTTGGCGATTTGTTAATCACACATGTATAATATAATAGATTTTATCTGAGAATGGTTAACTAGTGTAATAAACCGGTCATAGCATCACACACTGAAATGAGACTGAAATTTGATACGAATCTGTCAGAAAGCCTATCAAAATAATCCGTCAAATTGCAGTACAAGACAAACAGATAGGGTATATGACAGTGCAAAGAAAGTGTTATGTAATTAAACATCGCGACAGTCGAACTGAAGAGAATAAATATCAATAGGATTTATTTGAACATAGAATGAAGGGCATATAATGCTTCCATCAACGATTCTTTTTACAAAACATGAAAACAAATGCAAAATATGCAACATCAACGTATTTTTTCAGAAATAGGATTAATTCAATCGGATTTAAGAAAAATTGAATAATAAATGTTTTCTAAAAATACAATCATATAGAATTGTTTATGGAGATTTACATGGAGATTTCAATGTAATCTTACGTGCACAATGGTATGAACATGGATAGGTAGTAATATAGAATATAATATGCTAATTCATGCCTGGTTTTACATTCATCATTGCAAGTAGCTGTCATTTTATACCAGAAACGAAAACAGCAAGGTAATATAACCAGTGATCACTTGCCTATATGTTTGTAACGGTAATCAAGATACGTCAGCTTTTCTATGCAGCCAATAGGTTAAGTTCTAGTGCTATTGTATTGCTCCGTGGCATTTGTTTTCATATTATATGAAGACATTGTTTCACAACATTAGAGTTATAATTTATCACTTGAGGTATTTGTGTCAAGAGTATCAATGTGATTTTCATTGATGTTATACTGACGTATTGTCACTATTCTTTTATCACGTCTGTTTATGTATATGTGGCAAAGATCAATAGCAAGGTTATGATTGCTTTCACGTAGTTCATTCCGAACAAATCCACCTCAAAAATATATATGCAAATTCATTCTGATTTTCCTAGATGAACTGAATGATTGGCATTCAATCTTAGTACGTCATTTGTGTACTAAAAGAAGGAATCTACATACGTGAAATCACGTGCGATTTTCATGGTCACCATATGTGGTGGAAAATTGTCTCGTTAAATAGACATGCCCTTATAAGGAATTGAGTCGTTTATATTCTATCGCTAATCATTATTAAACACGTCACTGCTTTTACACATTTCTATTGACGATATAATTGATTAGTCACCACTGAGACACCCTCCAGAATAAAACATAAATGGTTATTTGTTCGTATATATGACACAAACGGGGGAAAGAGTTCATATTTTCCGCCGCTTTTACTTTTATACTCGTCCTGACTAAAACTTGATCATCATTTGTTTAGTAAAATCAAATTTATAAAACTTTCTGCGTTATTACAAATTTCCAACATCGATATATATGCAAATTTAATGCAATTATCACTTGGCGATCAGTCAGCACAAAACTGTAGTTGAAACCCTATGACTGAAATCGGAAATTGATGTCACACATAAGAGCCTCTATGTAATACTCAACGTAAAGTTGGATGAACTTGTTGGATAAAATGTGTCATAAAAAAAGCTTCATCATCAAAATTGAACTAGCAACTAAAGAGTTGTCAAAGAAAAAAAACATGTCTGCGCGATACTGAAGATGAACATGAATGACTTTTTTAGAAAGAAAATAAAGATCTGAAAGATGTATACGTAAACACAGCTTACATGCGTACATCAAAGAACGAACGATCCATTTTTTTCCAACAAGAGTACTCGCCTTTATTACATTAATAGTAGAGATGTACTATCAGTCGTATGTGCCATTAGAAGGAAGATTGTTATCATTGTTGAGTCCCCAAAATAGTTCCGAATAACACACATTAAACTGAATAGAGTTCCCCCTGCATATGTAACATTTCAATCCAATTTGAAAGCTTTGCTGGAATTCCCCAAACGGCCCTGCATTCTTAATCCATTTTAAAAGCACCTTTGAATGTAGTTTTCTTTCCCCATGGACCATACTGCGTGATGGTTTCCAATTATATATGATTTGAGTCCAATTAGCAATACGTCATTCAAGGGAAGTGCTTAATATCGCAACCAATTATATATCTATTGTATGAAAATACCAAGCCATAAAGTGTACATTTTATAAAAATATTGGCAGTGTGAATAGCTGTTATTTTTTAAGAAAAAAGGATGTACCATTATTTTCCCAAACAACCACGAGTTACAACTCTCTTTCAAACGAGAGCAGATATAGTAACTTAAACAGATTTGTGTAAATCATTTTTAAAATTGTTTTCCCCCATTTTTTTTCATTTTGTCAGTGAGCGTTTTTCCTTCTGCGACAGTGTAACCCACCATTGTCGTATATCGTCATCGATGGTTTTCCCCAACTGCTGCATATCACACTGTCTTTCATTGTAATAAACGTTAACGACAGACTGAATTATGTGAATGCCAGTTTTGTAATAAAATCGCTGGGTAATCATTGAACGACGCCGAACTCGCTAGAAAAACCTATAAACTGAAGTTCATAATATGCTTGCACAATTTGACTAACATCTTTTAATATTGCGGTGTATTGGCAATCCCATTTTGTTCACACTGAAAACTAATTCACGCGAGATTTTCGGGTCGTGACATCCTACCATTTAATTGAAATGACGGAACAATAATATAACATTTATACGCAGCTCAGTCTTGCTAGTTATTCAATGTAACATGTTTACTCATGTCAACTTGATGGCAATGTACCCAGGCGCTCATATTGAAACAAGTCCAATGTAGATGCGGCAGTTTTTAGTTTTGCGCATGCATATGATACCTATCACTATATATACTATATATAAATAGACAAAAATGTGATATATGTATCATGTGTATATTATATAATATTCTAGCACAATATTACTTTATCGCTAAATTTGAGCAATGATCAGAGGCCGGGACTAGGCAATTCACGATATAGTACCACCGTAAAGCGGTATTAGTGTCTTATTTTTTTTTATCAATGTTAAGTTGATATAAAATTGATTATATACCTGTACAATATTCCACAGACCAGTCAGTTCAGCTGTAACTTCCGCATTTGACGACATCATGGGTCCAACAAACATAATTTTTGTTGGTGGATTGAATAATTGATAAAACAATGCGTCCATTGCTACACCTGTTGTACCCTGCATAAACAACAACAACAACAACAACAACAACAACAACAACAACAGCTATAGCTAATTCATTCTATTTTAAACTCGTGTGTGTTTGACCCATACAACGTATAAAGTCAGTATACAATACATTGTTAATTTTAATGAAAGCCGAAGGCGAGCTTTGTGACGACTGTTGTGTTTCAACAAATAATTAATAATCAACTGCAGCTTCAGTGATGTTAATAAAATATATAATAACTCCGGAGGGTAGGGTGGGGTGGTGGTTGTCTTATTGTTTCTAATATTCAACTTGCTCAATTTCATTTCTTTTGATTACCAGTCGCTTTTAAACGGAAACCAATCTGATTAACTGCTTTGTTATATTTACTATTTACCACCACTATTCTATGACTAGAATGTAGGGATTATCTATATATGTCTGAAATACAACCTGATCTGAAGTATATGATTTATTATGCATATATATTGCATACATTTAATAACATTACGGGAAGTGTGAACCTAGTGTCAGGTGCAAATACGCATTGGCAAAGTCGATAACGGGTAACTACACGTTTTGAAAATAAAGACATATTTTTGGGGAGAAAAGGCTACTATGTTAGCACATATATTCATTCACAATTGTAATTTACTTATCAAAGATAAAATAGTTCAAGTTCTGCTTCTTGTAGTGCAAGACATTTGGCTCCGTATTTGGTCCAAATCATAGATTTAAGTGACTGATTTTGAATGACTGACTTTGATTTTGACTTTATTGTATTAACATGATGGATAGTACCAATACATACATACCTGTGTGTTGTTAAATAGTAATATCAATTCATAGTCAAATAACACGTCATCGTTGTCGTTGACATGCTCCACAGCCAGATTAGCCGAATCGAGTAACTGAGCCATGTACTGTAAATGTAACGGGAAAAAACCGCCTAAATACAGCGGTATCGTCGGCGAGCACGGAGAAGCCCAGAATAATAGACACAGTAGCAAAACCGTCCCCATCGTTCATCAGCTAGCGTCAAAGAGAGAATAATGGAAACATGAGCGTGTTGGCCAATGAATTTCTAGACAATTGAACGCTACCACAGCAGAGGGCGAGATGTCAGAGTGATATACATAATTTATTTGTGTTTTACATTTTGAGTCACTGTTATATGATAGGACGTTCGTGATTACTTGTACAATAATTCAGGCTTATTTACAAAATATTGCAGCTGCTTAATTTGATCAAATAACACTGACGTGATGTTTTAAAAGCTGATTCGTCCACCGATGCCTATGTGTGTACTAATTTAAATGGATGCTTTATCCTTTCTTGGTATACACCTAATATACAGACAACTGTTGATACACTACTTAACAATAGTGTCATGACAACGATGAAATACATGGTACTGGACCGGGTTAATTTTATTTTACTGAAATAAATTATAGATAATTACTTTGATTATTTATTTAACGTGGGTCGGTCAAGGGTGCATTGATTAAGTTTACCTCAATGTTACCACCGCCAGGGGTTGCACGAATTACTGTTAAATATTGCTTTAAACAGTGACTCAACTTTTGGTGGCAATATGACTATCGAATTTGCCAGGAAAATAAATAAAACAAAATGCCCGTTTTTTTTGGTTATGCAAGCCCAAGTTGTTTCCAGCAATAGAAATGTACAAGCTGCACTTTATACTGGATTACCACAACGCTATATTGTGCGTAATATGACCGTCACAAAAACTAAATTGAACATCGCCATTGATGTACCCAACTTGCTCAGAACAATTGATGTAAAGATAAGACATTTCTACTGAATAGACTGATTATTTAGCACTAATACTCGCTTACGGCTTTATTTGCTGACGCCAAGCTATTATCATAGGATTATATAACATTACAAATGTTTATAAATAATTTAATTCTCCCGCAGGCTTGCAAAATTACGTGTGTATGTTACATATTCACAGTTTATCTCAAAAAATATTAGTCATTATGTAGTTCGATGAATACGAGTAATTTTATTTTCCGCGAGCAATTTAAACTTTATCCTGATAATAGCATTTTGTATCAAAGCAGTAAGTATCAGAAATAAGATACACATTTCGAATCACAATCGTCAAATGATTAATTTGATAGTCAATGAAAGAATAAAAATAAAATGCATTGGAATAACATTAATGTATAATGTGTGCACCTAATATTTATGTGATATGTATTTACTTGTCATGAAATAATTATGAACATATTTCGTAATTCAATTGCTATTTACTATTTATTTTCATCATCTGTTTTATTGTTTGATAATTTTAAGTTTGTTTATGAAGATGTTTCTTTCATATGTGTGGAGACTGAATTCGCCAAGAAAATGTGTCTCATTGTCAATGCCATGATTTTTACAGACATTGTTATATCAATGTAACTGTAGGATAATTGCACTAATTCTTAATTTGATTAAATACGATCTTTGATACGGGTTCCTAATTATAATTCTTAATTTTGGGTTTCTGAGTACTTGAATCTGACTAAATGTGTGCAGTTGTTTTTCTTTATTTGATATTATCATCAATTAAAATTATTGTAATATTTTCGTGTAATTTATTTTTCAAATTTTACTCCATTTGTCTTTAGATTTTGCCTATTCTCGAACATGTAGTTTGCACATGTGTTCGCACTTGAGCCATTGTTGTTTCTGACATTGTTGTTATGGCTCTGTGTTTGCTCAGGTCTTATGTGTCCCCTGTTTTGTGAATTGCTATGATACATGATATGTTCCAGTCAGGGCTACCTACGGCTTGAACTTAAATACTGTAGTTTTGGTAGTTGAATAATTATAACCTGTTTATTCTTTCATTTTGCACGTTTTTCATACCAGGAAACGTTTTAAATTGCCGAACACTTTATGTATTCCTGATTCATCGTCCGCCTGCACGGTGTTGTTCCGTTCGAACATTCCTCCCTCTACAACACCGTGCGGTAATACCATTCGTAACCGTGTATGTCACGTGGTTGCGCGATAGAAAGTTTACCGACCAATAGA